CTTCAAACTCTGTGTCCTCCCCCACAGACATTAGTAGAAATATGAGTAACTTTGGAGAATCTAATGATAACATGGATGATTTTGTAAAAAGTGAAATTCCTTAAAAAAATTTTCTAAAGGACCAATTCCTGCTCATGAAGTTTTAGAATCAGCATGGGATGTTATGAATCTGAACATACAAAAGGTCTCTGCTGAAATCAGTAAAAGGTGTAGCCCTCAGATTGACTGGCCTATGTTTTTGGCTCTCAATTTTTCTCCTGCTTACCTGGGAGTAAATGAAGAGGAGCATCACTGATGCTGATGGAGTTACACTGAAATAAAACTTAACTGAAGTGAGATCAGCCACAGATCGATTTATTTTTTTTAAATAGGGACTTATTTAGTTCAAGCAAAGTCTAAAGCTCCCATTGCGTTAGTACCCCAATTTGTAAATATTAGTAATTAAATATCAGGAAAGGCGCTGGAGGCCAATACCATATCAAGCCCCAATTTTACCTGCTTTTGGAGAGAGGGTTGTTATAGTGTAATTCTTATTCATAATACATTTTCCTTGGATTGATTCATGCTTGATTTTTTTTTTACACCTTTTTGAACCAACCACAGACATATTTCTGGTGGAAGGGATAATTATTAATCAAAATCTCACTGGCAATGGATTTTTTTCTTTTTTGCAGCTAATCCTCTGTTAAACTTTAGCCAGTGAAACTCCTTCCAGAGCAAAAGTGGAATGAAAATCCCCATTGGCTCTAATGCAGAGCACAGTTCAGATGGCAAATCCTTACAGAGGGCCAATCCTGCTCACGTTGGAATCAATGGCAAAAACACCTGTTGATTCCAGTCATGCAGGAACAGGACCAAACACTCCAGTAGAATCTTGCGATCAAAGATTTTTCTCTTCATTTTAGGAAAATTCTATTTTACATATAGAGGGGAAGTACTATAATCCCCCAAGACTTTCAGGGGTGCAATACGCCAAACATCCAGTAATTTGGAGGGCTGTAAAAGTAGTCCAGCATTATAAAGCAATACTGAGCTGCTTATCTGGGGTAAGCACTTCCTGACTTTTTTTTTGATAGATGAATAAACTCTCATTAGCTGTTTTATTCTCATCAAGCTCATGGGAAGGCTGGGTGTATTTTTATGGGTGCTTCCATGCCAGGTATGGAAAATGGTGGTTTTGCAAGGCTGAGATAATAAATCATAGCTAAATGAACTGACTCAGCAACTGATCATGGAATGATATTATCATGACACACTTGTTCTAATTATTTAAACTTTATTATTTTCTGTAAATTATTCATTGCATTTCCCTTCGGGATTCTGCTAATAGCCCCAAATCCATGTGGCCTATGTCATGACTGGGTTGAGTGAAGATTTTGGGTTCTATTAGAATATGCTTCATAAAACTGAGAAGTGCTGCAAGAGATTTGCATCAGATTAAAACCATAAAAGAAGGGGCTACATTACAATAGTCCACCCTTTCAGATTGTAAGCCACTGATGGATTTATAGCTACAGTTAAAAACTTAGGTCATGTGAATCCTTTTATTATAAGAGTGAGGAAATTCTGTCATTGGCCAAGAAATGGAATTAAATCTATGAATATAAATAAAGATGAAAGAAGAAAAAACCCATGTAGAGCAAATCACTAATAATCACTGATAAAAACTACCTTGTCTTCTGAAAATTGCGGCATTTATCCTACTGTCTGACTGTCTTTTTATATTATGAAAACAAATAGTAGTCCTGTGGCACCTTAGTGCATAACAAATATATATAGTATCATGAGCCCACAGGGATTTTGCTCATGAGACTATATATATTTGTTGTGCACTAAGATGCCACAGGACTACGAATTGTTTTAAAGTTACAAACTAACACGGCCACCCCGCTGAGACTTTTTATATTCTAAAGCATTTACTTACCATGCTGGTGAGACAGCTCTTAATTTAAACCATGTAAATGTTGTCCAGATATTTCATAAAGCCTTGGAAATGCTTGAAATAAAAATAAGTAGTTAATCATTTCATCTAGGTATCTGGCATCAGTATGGAGATTTCTTGTATCTGGATCAAAATTCTGAAAGCAGTACTGTCCAAAGAGTTAACAACTTTTTCATCTGACAGCCAGTGGAGTCATGTAGGCCTTTAAGATTTGTTTGAGGTCCCCTCTTGAGTGGAGTAATATAAAACATATATAAAAGTATAAGCATCACAGGTATCCAATATTGCCCCCTTTTGATAGGAAGCAAGATCTTAGAAACATAGAAAACAAGGCAAAAACATTTTTCTTTTGCCTACAGTCAAAAGTTAATTATTTAACATGTGATGTGGAATCAGCACAGAACAGACTCAATCTGCAGAGTGTGGCAGGAAAGCAGAATGAAAGTTCTGAATCGCGTCAATGTCTCCAAAAGGGGCATACCAGAGTTCTGGCGAGGGGAATGTTCACATCTCTGAACCTCAGCCTTTTGAAGTCAGTGGAAAATGCCTGTTGAGCTTGGATCATGCCCAGAGTGAAATTAGGCTGGGGAGGAGGGAAAAAACTTCACTATCATGATAAACTTATAGGTACTACCGAAGTGTAAATGTCCGACATTTGTTGACCAAAAGCAATAAAAAGGCCCTACATGTATACATTTTGGCATAAAATAATTAGCCAGGTTCAATTATATGTAGTGGTTAAGATCCACCATAATCAGATGCCAGAACTATATATTCCTAATAAAGAGGAACATTTTTTCAGATGATCATTAAAAGTTCTCTGATACTAGCTTTTTGGATTCTGACATCTCAAACAGTAAGAACTTCCCTGTTCATTCATTTAATAGCCTTTGCATATTATATAGCTGCTAACTAACTAACCTGATCCATTAATTGCAATAGTTCTAATGTTTAAAGTGGGTTTTGTTATTGTGCAATTTGGAGACATGAGAAACTTTATTTCCAGCAGAGTAGGAATCAGTTACCAAAATATCTATCTGCAATTTTGAAAAGCTAAGTAAACCAAAATATGCGTGAATGATCCTCTATTAATTCTACCCTGTTTATTGGCTTTTTTTTTTTTTAAAGCTTTAGTTCAGTCATTAAAGTTGACACCTAGTTAGCTGTTGGGGTATGGTTTACTGTAAGTGTTTGGAAATCAATGGTGTATTAGTTTGTAGGGCTAACCTGTAACTGCACCATCTTTACCTGGAATTGGTCCCTTCAAAATAAATTGGATTATTTGGAAAAAATAAGTCAGGGCACCGGATAATTTAAAACAAAATGTTGTTATTCCTCATAGTGGGGTCCCTGATGTTAATAAGTATTAAAATCAAATATTTGCTCTATGCAGCCTATCCTATTTACATTCATTGGGTTTGTGGGTTAGAAAAGAATTTGAATTGTCAGAACTCATTTCAGTTCTGCAGAGCTGATATTGCAAGATATTCTGTGTATTCCATCTCCCACAGCACTGAAACTGTTGCTCATCAGAACTTGAGTAAAATTTTCAAAAACGCTCTGGTGACTTAGAAGATTGGTCTACCAGTTTTTGGGGCAGGTTAATCACAAAGTGGGTTTTCCCCCACAAAAGGTTATGTCCAAATAAATCTGTTAAGTCTTTAAAGTGCCACAGGACTCCTCATTGTTTTTGTAGATACAGACTAACACGGTTACCCCTCTGAAGCTATTTCTGTTAGAGGTATGCTTTTATTTTTTAAATTGAAGTAGTTACACTGATATCACTCCAAGCGAAGAGGCAGTTATGCTGATTTAAAGGTGCCTTTTACTAATTCAGTTTATTCACCTTCCCATATGGGAATACTAACACATTTATATCCACATCCACATTGGTGGGAGTTGTGCCATTTTAGCTACAGGTCAAAGCTCTTTAGTTCTGCACTCTCTGGTCTGGCAACACCTGTGGTCCGGCATGGTTTTAGTTAGCTGGATGTCCACTTTTTATGGGTATGGCCAAGTTTCCCACAGTCCTATAAAGTTTGTTTGCAGCCACCAGTAATCCTGGCTCTCGGTGTTTTGTGCTGTTAG